TAACTATTCATACCAAATACTATTGTAATACTTTTTCTCAATTGCAATTTTAATATATATCTCTCATTTTAATGCTTCATACCAAAGGGATCTAAGATCACCAAAGCTGACGAGGGGGATAGCGTATTTAAGTTTAGGTGATTAACCACATTGTAATGTTCCCCAGCTAACATCGCAAAATTCATTCTAGTTTACTATATTCATTGAAATAGCGGCAAAGATTCTGCAATTTCTTATCCATAACAAGCACATATGCCTAGTGTTACGATACTATGTATATGTAAACTCACTCAACCAGCTTCAGGCCCCAAAAAAAAAGAAAAAGAAAAAAGAATCATATATACTCAACCTGCTTTCCCGTAGATTCTGGAATTCTGCTTCAAATAGCGCCAAACATTAATTTTGATCAAGCCATCTTTATGACTTTGTTCGAAATACCACCATGCTCATCACTATTATATGATATTTATATTATTTAAATACTTTTTCACTGACTTAAATTTAAAATTTTCAACTAACAATTTTACGTTTTAGAATATATATATATATATGTTTTTGAAAAACTGGCAGTTAACATATGATTTTTATTTTAGATTTTATGCACATTAATTTTCTTAAAAAAATTGATTCGAATAATCCAAATTAGCTCTAAACACGGTACGTAGTAGCAGTGATGAGCGCCCTTGGTGGTCATCATTCTATGTGGCGGTGAAACTCAACCCCGAACCTGGATCATTACAGTTGTTACTACAATTTCAGAAGGTGAGTATTGATGATGCGTACGTACAGTGATGCTATCGAATATTAAGACGCATCACAAGTGCACGGGTCATAAAAATAAATAGCAATAAATCAAAGTTGATCCCACAGAAGACTCAGTATCTTCTTTTTGTTTAAGTTGGATATATCAAAATTTCATGAAATTGAGTGAAAAAAAATTAAAATAAACAAAACAAAGCAAAGCTTTATCAAATTAATTTAAGCAAAGAATGTTAAAAGGTCAACCTAAAGTTACCAATTCCTTCCTAGCTTCTTAAACCTTGTTTCACTGAATTGATTAGCTTTAATATTAATTTTGTTGATTTAGAGTATAATTAGTTATAAATACTTGTCGGTCCACTTATAATCCTCTCTTAAATTAATTAAGTAATTTCTCACATAATTATTTAAGAGGCTAAACAGTTCGGTCTCACTCATCAATAATTATACAAAATAATTAGACATGTTTCTATCCTAATCATAAATCAGATTATCATCTAATCCCATATTATTTAATCTAAAAGCTTACTTAAAATCCCTCTTGTCAATGAAAACTTTAATTCTCAAATTCCCACTTAATGATAGCCAGTCATCAAATAGATAATAAAGAACAAAATTAAGTAATCAAAATTTAACATTAAGCATTTTAAATATTCAGTGAAAACAAAACTCAATCCACTAACAAGATCGCGGTTTCTCTAGGCTGTAAAACACACTAGCCACGCATGACTTCGAGCAATCTCAATTCAGCAACATCAAATTCGAAACGAGATGACATAATGGAATGGAAGAATATAAACAGTGGAATGAATGAACTGGATGATGGAATAATGGAAAACGAATTGAATGCGAACTGAATGAGAAGAACCCAAAGCCCCAACAATGCAGTCTCTCCCTTCTCTCGCCGGAAAACCGCCTCTGTTCTGCTCCTCCGTCGAGATTTCTCTGCGAAGGAAAGGAAGAACATCAGCTTGCTCGCCGTCGGTCTCGATTCACTGGCTCAGTCGATCCGTTAAACTCGTCCAATGTCCAGAGAAGAAGAGAATGAAGAGTGAATGACCGTCCCTCTAGTCCAGAACCAGCGTCGGCGATTTCCTCTCGTCTTTGATCTCCTCCGCTGAACCTGTCAACTAGAGCCCCCCTCCTCAAAACACAAAAACAGTCCGGCTTTTTCTTTCCTTCAAGACGGTAATGAACAGTGATCACTAGGTCTCCAAAGTGGTCTCCCAAAACGCTGCGTCTTGTTTTTCCACAATCAGCACGCGCTCGTCATTATTCTAATCTTCCTTCGACTCCAAACGGTGCGTTGCTTTTCTTCCTCCCCTTACTCCTCTTGTGCGGCACGTGTAAACTGATGAAAGAGAGAAAGATGAAATAAAACAAATAAAAAGAAAAGCTGAAAAAAAGGCAAAATAAAAGAAAATAAACTATAAGAAATTGAAATAAGAGAAGATAAAATCAACCAAATCTTAAACTTAATATTCATTATTTTTATTCATTTAAAACTAAGATACTTGTAATAAAATCCCCCCAAATAATGCTCACAATTAATTTCTTTCAAATCTCTTTCAAATCATCTAAAATCTTATTGATAACTCTCTAAAAATTACTCAAAATATTCTTTCAAGATATTCAAAATAATGAAGTTATCATATAGCTAATTAACAGTCGTTATGGCGAAAATTATAATTTCAAAGGGAGGTGAGGAAGAATGACTATTGGATATTAGCAGAATATACTGTTTGATCCAAACTGGGTGCGTTGTACAGGTCTTGTGATCCAAGCAGGAGCGTTTTCACAACCAACGTCAATTCAAAGCACCAATTATCTTTCGTTGATTAAAAGAATACAATTCTTTTAGGAGAAAAAACAAAAGAGTACTGCTTGTAAATTCCCACCACCACAAATAATATTCAAACATACTATTCACCTAATTAATTTTGAGTTTACGAAATCAAAACGACCTTGTCTTTGACTCCGTCTCAATTATATACGGAAAGCCTTGCATTCATCTCCCTTATTTATTCTTCAATGATAAATTTCAGTTATAAAATGCAACATCATTCATCACATTTTTTAATTTATGTACAGAGCCCAAGCAAATTAACTGGACGATGAACACAAAGTAACTTTTCGCCAGTTAAGTAATTAAAAAGAATACTCTATATATTGCTCTGTCAACTTCTATATGTGCTGGCCCAAAAAATGTTAAATTTGTATACGTACAACTTCTAGAGAAGAGATTTTTTGTTTTTGTTTTGCGTAGTCAATTGTATGTGATGTTAATAATTAGAGAGAAATATCAGATGTGTCGACTTAAAGTTTCTTCAATTCAACGTGTTGGTAATCACATTTATTGCTTTGCGCGTTCTACTTTTTAACTCGTAATAATATTCGTTTCCCACTTTGGTTGCCTGACTACAACATCTGATCTTCTTCCGATTTTCACATGCTGTCCTTCCCAGTTTTCCTTGTCCTCTCTGGATCTATCCTATTGCGTATGAATCACTGACAAGGCGTGCCTAATTAACATTTTTAATTTTCTTTTCTTATTATTTTCAATTAATAGACGCAGTTATACAAGAGAGTTATTGTGTTGATCACCGATTATTCCGTGGCCGGTCTTTGTTTGAACTTTGAACAGCGTGATTTCAGATCAGACATTCATCGCAAAAAACAAAGAAAGAAACACTGCAATCTACTGAACAACTAATTAATAGTATTTGTTAATTAAGACTTGAGAGTCTTCGATTATACAATCATTTCAAAATTAGTTCTGAACCCACGGATTTTGCACGTTACTATTGTCACCTATTGCATTGACCTGCTATACGTTAGTATTTGATTTCACTGTACGAATTAATTAATTAATATAAACCGCAAATTAACTTGCAGGAAGATCGTGTACGTACATATATATCATTTGCACTGTGCACCTTTTCACCCGCCGGGCTACACCACACATTGTCTTGGTAATTCCAAAATATGTCTGCATGATTTTTATTAACAGTTAAGAAGCCAGGACATATGCTCATCCATTTATTATTTTTCCGTAAACAGGATCTATAACTAATGAGCTCCTTTTTTTCTGTTTTTGGGGCCTAGCTAAAAATAATAATGAAATGAAAACGATCTACTTCAAAGACCAGAAATATGTGGATATGTTTGTTGATGATTTGCTTATGATCATCTGGATGTAATTTTTAAACTACTCGTATGAAATAGTTATCAGTAACAGCAGCTGCCAATTAAGCAAATCATTTGTCTGAAATGATATACTCTACTCTATATTAATAATCAATAAATATCGTTTTATCTTGTTTAATAATGAATTCGAGCATCACTGATTATATTAATGCTTTAAATATCATTTCGACCCACTCAAGAAACAACGGCTACATGCCTAGCTAACAGACAAATGCTAGAAATATTAGTATTAGTATTAGTATTAGTATATAAATGATAAATCGATAATAACAATTAGTACAATATTTGATGTCCTTTTCTGAAGAAAATTTAAAGAAAAAAGCACTTCATGTGATCATGTCTATTAGTGATTAGTCTATAGCTAAGTACTGAATTCTAAATTTATTTATGTCATGGAAGTGCTAAAACAATATATTAAAAGGAAGCTTTGGGGGAGGGGGAGATGGGATCCGCTGCGTAAGAAAAGGAGCAAGTGGGCAGTAAACCATTTTCATTTTTGGCTTTGAATATCATTAGTTCAAAGTTTTGACTGTAATTTGCGCTTATTCGGCGTAATTAATCAGTAATCACGTTGTAGTAAATTTGAAGTCATCGATCTGACATTTATATTCTTTGGTTCTACAATTCACAGAGTATTTCGTTTCCCTTATGATTTAAAAAGAGAAAGCGACAATGCCGGCAAAACAAAAAACAGAAAACGAAGATCAGTTTAAAAATCTTTAAATTAATTATTACTGTGCAACGCATATGCTTCAACTTCTTGAGAAAATGAATGGGAACGCAGGAGTTTGATCGCTGGAAAGATATAACAGCACGATACTGATGGAAGAGAAAGAGCAACGAATGACTCCCATTGGTCCGTTCCCGTAAGATCAGCCAATGTTTAATTCTCTCACAGTATTATTAGGGACTTCGTGGGACCCAACTCTATCTGGTCTTCGTCAACCACTTTGTCCCACTCTCCGTACTATAAGAGATATCCCTCCTCGGTCTTTATTGATCCATTGATTCCTCACACCACACATACCTAGCTACCATTAATTTTACCCATGACAGAGGCATCAGGCCTTTTGTCCATTCTTCTTCTTCTTCTTCATGTCTCTGTTTCTCTTGCAGACTCTTCCGTTTACAGCCCCTTCCTCGACTGTCTACACAAACACACAGATCCATCCGACAATCTCTCCGACATTGTATACGCTAAAACCAACGTTTCTTACACTTCAGTCCTTGAAAACTACATCAGAAATGCCCGATTCAACACTTCCTCAACCCCAAAACCCTCCATCATCGTAACCCCTTTAAAGGAATCCCATGTCCAAGCCACTGTCATTTGTGCCAAAGACATCGGAGTCCAAATCAAAATCCGGAGCGGTGGCCACGATTATGAGGGCACCTCTTATGTCTCCGACCAACCCTTCATCATCCTCGACCTCTTCAACCTCAGGAACATCTCCGTCGACGTCCAAAACGAGGTTGCCTTCGTTCAATCGGGCGCCACCCTGGGAGAGTTATATTACCGCATTTGGGAGAAAAGCAAGGTTCATGGATTTCCCGCGGGAGTGTGTCCTACCGTTGGCGTCGGAGGCCATTTGACCGGAGGAGGGTATGGCAACATGCTTCGCAAATACGGCCTGTCTGTGGATCATGTTATTGACGCCACAATTGTTGATGTGAATGGCAGAATATTAAACAAGGATTCCATGGGAGAAGATCTTTTCTGGGCCATTAAAGGAGGAGGTGGCGGCAGTTTTGGCGTCATACTGTCCTACACTGTGAAACTTGTCCGCGTGCCGGAGATTGTAACCGTCTTTAGAGTTGAAAAGAGATTGGAAGAGAATGCCACTGATCTTGTGGTTCAATGGCAAAATGTTGCTCCTCATATAGATGACAGGCTTTTCATGAGGCTGCTTTTACAGCCCGTGACTTCCAAGGTGAACAAGAATCAGAAAACCATAAGGGCTTCTGTTGTGACGTTGTTTCTTGGACGGGCCGACGAGCTGGTGACGCTATTGGAGAAGGAGTTTCCTCTGCTTGGTCTGAAGAAAGAAAACTGTAATGAAACAAGTTGGATCGATTCTGTGCTGTGGTGGGCAAATTTCGATTTAGGAACCAAGCCAGAAGTGTTGCTCGACAGGAACCTGAACTCGGCGAACTTCCTCAAGAGGAAATCGGATTATGTTCAGACACCGATCTCCAGAGATGGTTTGGAGTGGATTTGGAAGAAGATGATCGAACTGGGGAAAACAGGATTTGTTTTCAATCCTTACGGAGGAAGAATGAGCAAGATTCCATCAGATGCGACGCCGTTTCCTCATAGAGCCGGGAATCTGTTCAAGATTCAGTATTCTGTGAATTGGAATGAACCGGGAAGTGAAGCGGACAGGAATTTCATAACTCAAGCCAGAAGGCTATACAGTTACATGACGCCATTTGTGTCCAAGAATCCAAGGAGTGCCTTCTTGAATTACAGAGATCTGGATATTGGGATCAATCATTTTGGTGAGAAGAGCTTCGAAGAAGGTCAAGTTTACGGGAGGAAGTACTTCAACGACAATTTCGAGAGGTTAGTGAAGGTTAAGAGTTCAGTGGATCCACGAAACTTTTTCAGCAACGAGCAAAGTATTCCTTTGCTTCCAAATGCACCATCGATCAAGCGTTGAAGCCTCGGCTGTGTTATTCCTCTCTCCTTTGCTTCCCTCGTACACCATTTGACTATTACAGTTTCCTTTTTTTTATTATTTAATCTTCAGTAATTATCGTTCAAACAAAAATTGCACTGTAATTCATAGCGACAATAAAAATATTAAAATATGTTGGCAAAAAAAAAAGGTATTAGTGAATATATAGACTCTAATTTGTGTATTCCTATTTCTTTTTTTTTCTGCCACCCTTGTATGTTCTTAATCAAGCAATATAACTTTGATCCGAAAAATCAAGCAATATAACACAGCCTTTTAGTTTTGGAAAAGTCACAAAAAAAATCATAAAACTAGAAAAATTACACATAGAGACCGGTTCTTAAAAATTGTTATCAAAACCTATATTGTTGTTAAAACCATGCTAATATTGTCATGGCCCCCCAATCTGCAATTTTTCTAATTCCACAATCTTTTTTAACGATTTCCCCTTTAGTTTCAGTGCACGCAGTTGACTGAGTCCACCGAGAAATTTCATCCCAAATTAAGGGGGTGTAATTTGGAAAACTCTAAGCATTTTAAAAAGTATTTTCACGTTCATTGAAATTTTTTTTTCTCATATACTTATTTTAAATATCTTAAAATTAATTCTGAAAATCTAATTCAAACATGCCTAAATTCAATTAAACTTAACAGCCCAACAGAACAAAGAGTAACGTACTCACATAATCAAATTTAAATTATCAAAAATATAATATATGCCAAAACTTATCCCAAAAATAATACTCTTGTGATTTTTAATGTAAGACTTAATTATTAAGTTAATTTTATTTTTAAATGTAAGACCTATTTTTTATATTTTTTATTTTTTCTAAATTGTTCTTATTGTTTTTATTTTTTTATAATCAAGTAATTAAGAAAAAATATAAGAATATTAAGAAAAATAATTATGGTATTTTAAAAAAACATGTTATGGCTTTATAATCAACTAACTTATTTAATTTTTTTTAATCTAATTAAATTAGTTAAATATTAAACAAGAAGAATAATACTCTATACATGACCAGCAATGTCCGAAGCAAATTGGAGTGATGTTTTTTCCCTCCAAAAAATTAGGTGCGTGAGTTTTTCCAAAATTCTAGGTGATTGACTTTGGAACTGCTCCGTCCTACATGCACAGGCGTTGCCGTGATTTCTTCTTGTTCTTTTTTTTTTTTGACCTTGGTGATTTCATTTTTAAATCATTACTATATTAAGTCTCATTTTTACTTGGATAACTACTTCCTCTTATTCTTCATAATATAAGACGTTGGTTAGAAAAAAAATTGAAACTTAAAATATAAAATATTGTTAGGATAATTGATGTAATTTTTTTACTCACTCCTATTAAATATAGGAGAAAGAGAAGATAGGAGAGAAAATAAAAGTATAACATCAAAGGCCTATTATTTTTTTAGAGGTAAAATAGGAAAATTTTATCATTTTAAGAGACTAAACTTTAACTATTTCTTAATATGTTAGAAAAATTAATCAACTTCTCATATCATGAACAGAACAGGATACTCTGGGATTCAAGAAAAGAAATTAATTATTAGAAAGTTCTTAATAAGTGGGTAACATTCTCTGTATTGAAAGTTGCTATGCGTACTGTTTTGTAATCATTAAGACTTTTTACCAATTATATTTTTTTCTAATATTTATAACAATTTTTTATTTTTTATATTTTTATATTTTGAAACTACTAATGAGATTAGTTCCCTAAAAAATTAATAGTAAATGAGGATTTTCTTATAAAAAAGAGTAAAATTATAACCTATTTAGTAATATTAAATAATTTTAATTGTATTTTTTTATTTTGATGAATATGTTATTTATGTCAGTAAGAGTATATAAAAATATTCTTTCTATTCTAAATATAAGAGATATTTTATAATGTAATTTATATTAGAAAATAAATTTTATATTTAGAATTATATTAATTGCTATCTTCCTTCTGTTTTAGTTATAAGATTTTATTCGGAAATAATATTTAATACACGCTATCATGAAACGTCAAAACAAGCATAAGCCGCGGGTTGTGACTTGTGTCGGTGACAGTGTACGAAGGATGGGAGAGTACATCTGCTGTTTTGCTTTTTTGCCAATATCCTTTTCTGAAATTAAAAACTGAAAAGACATGTAACGATTTAAATGTTTATATGAAAAATAATCCTTGATATTCAGTAATCATCATATACATGTAAAAATTTAAATAGAATTTAATAATCTTTAAAAAATTTTATATGTAATTAAAAAATTGTTTGGCTAACAAGGTTTGAGTCTAATGAAAGAGACTAATTTCTTAAAATGTAAGGAACTAATGTTTTGAACCTCCACAAGAAAAAATGCTCATATTTAGTGCCGATAATGTATCCAACAAGCCTCTAAGAGGATTTTTCTGTGTTTAGTTGGAAAAATTAGAAATTGATTGTTATACTAAACTTAGGTGAAACTATATAAGGAAAACTATTTGTTCCAAAGATATTTTAGTTACTTTTTCGGTTGTAAATGTAAGACCTATTTTGTAATATAAATTACATTATAAAATTGGTCTTATATTTAGAATCGGAAGAATATTACGTAGTCTTTGATGTGGACAACTAAAAGAATGAAGATATGAACATGACTTGACATAAGGTCAGGTCTAATGGTAAAACAGGGAACGTGAAAAAAAGCAAGGATAGGCTGTATTGTTTGGGAAAGATGGGAGAAGTGGCAATTATAATGGCTGGGCTGTGAACTTTATGAAGTCGCCCCACAAAAGGGCACATGCTTCCTCCCCGTAAAAAGCTTAAGCTTGCGTTTGTCGGCAAAGCTTTTAGTCATCCAAAATAGATCCATGATTATTAATATTGCAAATCACCTGAAATTACAATTACAACATAAAGCTACCTACCGTGGTCATCTCAATTCTCAAGAATAGACAATCTATAAATAAACAAGATTTTTCCAATACATCAATCCTTTTTATATATATTGCCATCTTGAGGTTGTACCCATATTCCGCTCGCCACACCTGCCTTGTTTTTCTCAAACAATCCAAAGGATGAGCTAGGATTGGAGCTTGCGAATTAATTAAATCTCAATGTTTCAATCCAAAAAGAGATGTTGTTGTATATATTCGGGCAATTTGCGGTCATTCAGTTTTATTGCCTTGTGAATACAGATCATACATAATTAATAGTCTGCAATCACTTCACAGGCAATAATATATGCTCAATGAAGAAATCAACTGGGAATTCCGATGGAGGAAGAGAGAACAGCGACGTACGGTGAGGCTGAATCATAATACCCGAAACGAAACATGATCTCGAGGCCGCAGCTGTCTCATCCTTCCGTGGGCTTAGGTTTGGGCCTCACTCTTGGGCTTACCATAAAGTTTGAATGAGATTTCATTCCCAAAACAAAGCCCAAAATCCAGATATGTGGTCGGTTTCACAATACTGGCTCGTGAGGGGGGTAGGAAAGAAAAAAGAAGAGCTGAGAAACAGAAACCAATCAGTGCCCAATTTTAACTCATTAGCATTCAGTGCATCTATTAATCAAATTTCCCAAACAGTAAGAAATAGCAAAAAGAGGCGAACTTGGATAATATCTGTAAACAGAACATGAAATGGCATGAAATGAATCCCATCCGATCTTCTTTCTAAGGGCATGAAATGAATCCAATCCAATCCAATCCAATCCTTTTTAGTTTCTTTGCCAACGATCCAATCCAATCCATCACCACAAATTCGTGTTTCAGAAAAATTCACCGTTCTGCGTGACTACGAGCTGCGTTGTGTTGTGTTTTCGATTCCGTTCTCTTCCGCTCCACGTAATATCCATAAAGAACCACTACTTGTCGGTCCCTCCTCCACTAATTCCTTGCCATGGCATCCTCCTTCACGCTTTGGCATTGTCTCCTCCCCATTCTCCTTCTTCATGTCTCTTTTTCTTTCGCAGACCCTTCGCTATATGCTCCTTTCCTTCGCTGCCTAACCAATCACGCGCCCCCATCCGACCATATCTCCCGCATAGTATTCACGAATGCCAACGTTTCCTACACTTCACTTCTTGAAAATTACATCAGAAATGCCAGATTCAACACTTCCTCGACCCCTAAACCCTCCCTTATCGTAACCCCTTTGCAGGAATCTCACGTCCAGGCCGCTGTCATTTGTGCTCGATCTGCTGGAATTCAAATTAAAATCCGAAGTGGGGGCCACGATTACGAGGGCGTCTCTTACGTCTCTCAAAAACCCTTCATCATCCTCGACCTCTTCAACCTCAGAAACATCTCCGTCGACATCCAAAACGAGGTTGCCGTCATCCAGTCGGGCGCCACCCTCGGAGAGCTCTATTATCGGATCTGGGAGAAAAGTAAGGTTCATGGGTTTCCCGGCGGCGTGTGTCCCACCATGGGAGTGGGAGGCCATTTGAGCGGAGGAGGATACGGGAACATGCTTCGTAAATACGGCTTGTCTGTGGATAACGTTATTGATGCCACAGTTGTTGATGTTGATGGTAGAATATTAAACAAAGATTCCATGGGAGATCTTTTCTGGGCGATCAAAGGAGGAGGCGGCGGGAGTTTTGGCGTTATATTGTCCTACACTGCGAAACTGGTTCAGGTACCAGAAACTGTAACTATTTTCCGTGTTGAAAAGACACTGGAAGAAAATGCCACTGATCTTGTGGTTCAGTGGCAGGATGTAGCTCCGCGCACAGATGATAGGCTTTTCATGAGGTTACTTTTGGCGCCGGCGACTTCCAAGGTAAACAAGAATCAGTTAACAATACGAGCATCAGTGGTGGCGTTGTTTCTGGGTGAATCCAACGAACTGCTGGCGCTGCTAGAGAAAGAGTTTCCTCGGCTTGGGCTGAAGAAGGAAAACTGCAACGAAACGAGTTGGATCGAGTCTGTGCTTTGGTGGGCGAACTATGATGTAGGAACGAAACCCGAAGTGTTGCTGGACAGAGAGTTGAACACGGCCAAGTTCGGCAAGAGAAAATCAGACTACGTTGAAACACCAATTTCCAGAGAAGGCCTGGAGGGTATATGGAAGAAGATGACTGAGCTGGGGAAAATAGGGCTTGTTTTCAATCCTTACGGAGGAAAAATGAAGGAGATTGCATCTGATGCGACTGCTTTTCCTCATCGGGCCGGGAATCTGTTCAAGATTCAGTACTCAGTGACGTGGGACGAAGCTGGAAGTGCGGTGGAGAAGAACCTGACAACTCAGGCTAAAATGTTGTATGATTATATGACGCCATTTGTGTCCAAGAATCCAAGGAGGGCCTTTTTGAATTACAGAGACCTGGATATTGGGAGCAATACCGAGAATAGCTATAAAGAAGGGGAAGTGTATGGAAGAAAGTACTTCAGTGACAACTTTGGGAGGTTGGTGAAGATTAAAACCGCAGTGGATCCAAAAAACTTCTTTAGGAACGAGCAGAGCATACCAGTACTTCCGTCAAACAAATAGACAATCATATTGGTCAGTATTTAACGGATGCCCTTGCCTTTGCATACGCCTAATAATAAACAATGTTTGACTCTCCAAAGTGTCTTCTATGGTCGCTTTCCTTTCCTCTTTTTTTTTTTTTTTCAAAATACAATTTTGGTTTAAAATAATATTAAAAACTAATCCTAAAACCCTTCTCCATCATGTTCGATTTTAATTGTTTCATATATAATCATATTAGCTAGAAGCCTTTTCTGAAACATTTTTTGCTATTGTAACAACTACGTTTGCGTGGTTAAGCCAAAAAGATCGACTTTGGCCATTTTCAAATATATAAGATTCAAGATTTGAAAATGGGCGGGTATCAGAAGGAAATCACATTTCAGGCGCCAGTGCTCCCCCCACTACATGAATCTAATTCAAGTGTTTTTTTTTTTTAATGATAAAAAAGCTTAGGTAAGTTGGATCTTGGAATTTATCAGGACCAGGACATGTCTCTAAGTTGAGAGAGCATCTAAAGACCAGTAATGAAGGTGCTTATAGCTTGCTCCCAACAAAGTCCTTGGACGTAATATATAACCCCCCAAAAAATGCAAATAAGGATTAGGAAACAAATTTCCAGAAGTGATGACCACGATGGATGATAAAACGATAATCTCACACGATCCTCATCAGGTGCCCAGGTTGATATGATTATTAGAGTTAGAGAATTTTCTTATCTATTAACACCCCCTTGCATTTTTTTTTATACTCAAAACATGTATATCTTAATAAAATTTAGCTATTGATTTATGAAACAAATATATTTTATATAAAATAAATCATTCAACTAATTATAAAAAATTATGCCAATATAGTATATGCATATTTTTAAAATAAGATATACTACTGTACTTTAGTAAGTAGAAACACGCCAAAAAAATCATGATATTTGTTTGCAGGTCTTTTTATTTTTTATTTTTGGTTCAGTTCAGAGAGCGCCACACGATCAGTACCCCCAAGACAAATGATGAACTCTAAATGGTTATGTATCTTTTTAACTTAAAAGTGTTAAATTTTTAAAGAAATCATAAGAAATTGTTGACTAAATTATTTTTAGTGAAAAGAAAAAAATCAAGATGTCACTCATTTTATATAAAAATATAATATAAAAAAATTGGAAAGAGCCCCAAAATTAAAGGGGAGGTGACACCCCCAACTCAACAAATAAACAATATATAATATTTGATTGGCTATTGAATAATTTGACCAAAAGGAACAATCTTGATTCGAAGAGCTTAGCGAGAGTAAGCAAATGCACTTTACATGCACGGATGCCCTGGCGTTGCCTGCCTTTATGAATAATAATAAACTATGTACCTGTATTTTTTTTCATATTTGTATTGAAATACATATTTAGAAGTTATTTTTATTTTTATTATTTATTTTTAAATTTGGATATTTTAAACTGTATGAGATACCTATACCAGCACTGAAAGGATTTAATAAAAAGAAAAATATAAAACAAAAAGGTGTGACGGAAAAGAATGATGCAATTATATAAAGTCTATAATTCCTTTGGATGTCAAAATCATCAATGGACTACCAAAATTTGGTGAATTCTTTTCTCGGTGCTCCTAACGAAGAGGTTCGTCGGGGGTTGATCCCGACAATCTCCAAATCCTCTTTAACAGACTCCCTTGCCTTAACCATTACGCCATGCATTCATCGTCCACAAGAATCACGACGACTTTGAGGGACAAAGGCACATTAACATTAGCACTCGACCTTTGCCAACAATATTAATTAGCATCTGAATCAAAACAACTCCATCTTAGATGGGGTGAATGTGACGGCCTACGGAAGAGATGGAGAAATTTTGAAAATGAAACTCTATCACGAATGACAAAAGAGTGAATCTAAGTGCCACTAGAGAAGAATTGAGCAAATATACGATTCACTATGGTAGGACAACTAGAGGATCTGAATTTGAATCCTGGGGGAAAAACATGCTTGTAATTAATAACTAGTTTTCTCGGTATGATGAGGCTCGACACAATAAGAGCACTGCTTATTGTTATTTTGTTTTGATCCAAAGAAAGCATTTGATTCTGGTCCCTTGGCCATGAAAATTTTGGTCTTTCAAGCAATAGGGTGGAACTCACGTTCTTGTTGAAGAACCAAAGAAAACACATAGTTAATAGAAAGCAAGGGATCTGATAACAAATCTGATACTTAACAGAATTATGCTGATCATTCAGACCTTTGAGAAAACGAATGACACGATCTTCCTCCTTCGGATGCAAAGCAACGGCCATAGATCCACACTTGCATGCATTCTGTGGACAAATATTAGACGAAAAGAGGGAAGAGAAAGATTTTATTTTGCTCTGATACTATGTAACGAAATATTTTGTGAATCAAAATGCTTGCTTTCTATTGTTGTGAATAAGGTATTTATACAATGAATATTCAACCATTATACATAATAAAAAAATACATAATAAACTCTTTAACTTTATCATAGCTAACACTTGTTAGTAGAAATGTTATCTATCCCCTAACAATTATTTGGTGCTTGCGGCTTGATGGCTGAAGCTAAAATGCTCTCAACATCAAGCCAAATCCGTAAATGGTATTTTACTATTTTACATTCATAGCACAAGAGTCTTAACCTTCTAAACTGATATTCTATTTTTAATTAAAACAGACATATGTCAATTGATAAACTCTTCTATTTATGATTTTAGAAAAATGTACCTTTATTTATTTTAGATTTATATTGATGAAATTGGACATTTAATTTGAATTGAAATTAAAATTTACAATTTAATTTTGTTCACATTATTATTAATAGCTTGTTATAGACCCTTTTTCTTAGTGAATCACATCATTCACATCTTAATTTTATGTTATTTAAAATTCAGATTTATTTTTAAATTTGGATATCTTAAACTATATATGAATATAAAATTTAAAAGAGTCTGTTGATGAAGTTATATGTTGACAGTAGTCTCAAGATATTTGCATGAGGCTTGAGATCTCATTATATTATACACTAAATGTGGGTTTCTTTTTTAGCAAAAATTTAAATTTTAATTCATCGCATTGTAAAGAACTAGCTTCTTTCGTTAAACTTAATTTATGTTCCACAGAAGTACATGGGCCGAGCCATCTGTAATGTGCAGTTGGGCTGCATCAACTTTTAAATGCTTAGTGGGCTTTTTTATTCTTTGGAGTTTCATTATTTTAGATGTCGATTTAATGTTTTTTGCCAGTAATAATTACTCCATAGAATGAAAGGTACAATCTTGTGTAAATTACGTACTCCCTTTGTTCCTTCTTGTTAGACCCTAATAATGAATTTCGTCAAATTTAAAAAAAAGTTAAAGTTAGTTTTCTATTAAAGATCTTTACAACTTTTAATTAAAGTCATTGTCAAGAGTAAAAGATAAGGGTGCTTTTAAACATGTGTCATTTTTATTAAATTTGTATTAGAAATTAACGGGTATGATTTTATTTTATTAAATTTGTATTAGAAATTAATGGGTATGATTTTATAAATAGAATTTCAGAGTGTATACATATTGTCAAAATATTTGGTCCATGCTCATGATTGCTTGGTAAATGATACTCCTCCGGTCCTTAATATAATACATATTTAACTAATTTGATTAAATTAAGGAAGTTAGATAAGTTAGTTAATTATAAGAAATGCGACACGTTTTTTCTAAAATATCATAATCATTTTTTTTAATACCCTGTCTTCTTCTTCTACTTAATTATGGTTGAGGGAGTATCCATAGGGGTAATTTAGAGAAAATTAATAAATATGAGAAATAGGTCTTATATTTAGGACCAAAACCAACTCAACAATTGAATCCTATATTAAAGACCGGAAGAGTAATAGTTACTTAGTGCAACATAGGACCCTCAGAGCCGAGGTGGCCCCTGAACCTACCCAAAAAAAAAAAGAAGACTCCACTAATTACATGTTAATGGTAATTCTTACAGTAAATTCGTGCTGTGGATTGAGAAGTACGCATCAATAAATAGAAGCTTGATTTCTGTATAGAAAGATTTGTGTAAAAACCACTGCTTGGAGGACAAGTACAACCTCATTATAGCACCCCTTCCACATTTTAATATATATCCATATATATAATCGTCATGACATGAAATGTGGCGACACACACAATAAAAGGATCGGAAATTGCTATAGATACTTGATTTGGAAAAAAAAAAAAAAGATTGGAAACTGTTTCTTGAAAACTAGCCCAAATCAAGGAAGAAAAGTGCTGAAAATGCAAATCGAAATACAAAACATCACAAAAACCAGTTGCAGACTTTTGACAAAGTATGCAAAGTTTGTATTAATTAATGTTTCATGGATTGTTTAACTCTGACTAATTAACTAGAATGGGAATGTTACGTTGACTTTCATCTGTTGAAGATCTGGTGATTGGAACCACACAGACAAATTAGCCCATATAGGTGTGTGTGTGTGTGTAAAATATTCACTTATATGCTCTCTCACTCTCACACTAACGTTCCCATTTGTAATAACCTCAAATTATGGCCACCAAATTTACCTACAACAACCTTGGTTTATCTATGTTAATTCTGCCGACAAAATAATATGGCAAGATTTTCCAACTCAATTACGAGAGGTCCTTCAAAGAGCTATGCTTGAAATTACCATCACCTGATCTAGCTAGCCAGTTTTCTTCCATTGAAAAGAACAAAGTGAATAAAAGAACACTTAATTTATATCCATTTTTAATTTCATGGACATAGAAATGCATACTTGCAACCAAGCTGGAGCCAACAACTCCACTCTATACTTTTAAAGCATAGATTAAATAAAATATAAACTACATTTGTTGGTATTATACGAATGAATATATAACAATGACTTCGCGTCACTGCTGGTTCTAATTAATCAAGGGCAGCTCTTGAATCACTTGCTTTAATTAGTGGATGAGTATTATCAGAGGTTACGATTATAAGTTAATTAAAAACATCAGTTAGAGCCTCAAAAAGAAATACTCTTCCAGTTCTTAATAGAAAAGCTATTTAACTACTTTGATTAGATTAAAGAAATTAGGTAAATTAATTAATTATAAGAAATATGACATATTTTTTCTAAAACACTGTAATCATCTTCCTTAATATCTTCTCTCCTTTTTCTACTTGATTACAGTTGAGGGAGATCCATCAGGATAATTTAAGAAAAATTAATAAATATGAGAAATAGATCTTATATTTAGAACCAAAATCAACTCAATAATTATGTCGTATATTAAGGACCGGAAGAGTGTATTGGATTTTTATTTTATTTTACTGGAGAAGTTAATTTAGAATGAGTCTAAGCCCTCGTGCATGCCTCCAACTCGATGAATGGAAAGATGCCCCTTGCATTCACCTAAAATTGCATTTAATATTAATAATCCACGTACTACACGTCCCAAAATGCCACAGAATTGATGTTGGTTTTTCTTTAGGAGATGAAGATATATGTATAAGTTGGCTGAAGGAGTATGCGCCTTCACCTAATTCTTATTCCATCATGCATTCCACTAAACAAAAGAATGGTTATAAAATATAATTTTCATTATGCCATGTGGTTCCAAGCTAGGCAGTCTTGGTTGGGGAGCCTCATGTGGTGTGACATCATAAAAATATTCCGCCGTATATATACACTTGTTTAAGTTAATGGCTCAACATTAGTCATCCACTTATCCCAAAATGCCATACATAGGGGTCTTGCCATTTCCAAATCCACAGCCCTTAGCCCATTGGGTACGTACAAGATTTTTCTTAATTTAAGTTAATGGCTCAACATTGTTAGTCATCCACTTATCCCAACGTGCTACACACGGGGGTCTTGCCATTTTTTTCCAAATTTACCTGTATGTGGTCCTTGTTCAAACACAGCCCTTACCCCATTGGGTACGTACTAGATTTTTCTTAATAGCTAGCAACCTGATTTATATAGTAATTGTGGTTGAACTGGATGTGACTCCAACTTCTTATATATCCCGTACTGGTAGCTGCTTCTTTATAATGATAATATATGGAGCTAAGGATTCTCATCAAATGGTGAACACTTGTAGTGGATTCTAAAGTGCTGCACCCACCCCTGCAGGAAAAACTTGGTGGAACTCTGAATACATATCACGTGCAAACCACTTCAATTATTATTTTTCCATTTTTTATATATATTCAACCATATTCAACAAAGACAATTTTATGTGAAAGTGTTTAAATATTTATTTTCATGTTTCTTAATAAATTCATATGTGTGTTGCGTATGAAGCTTAACGTTCTTTTACAATTAAAGCCAATGATCGATGTAATTCTGAATAAACAAAACACACACACATATGTTGGTGTACGGAAAGTGATAAGAACCACGTTAATTTTGTCCTAAACCAGTTTACGTGCGCGATTTCAGTTGAAAAGGCTTACAGTTAAAAAAGGGGGGGGGAGCTGATGTTCTTTATGAAGCTCAAAGTCGCGATCATGCAACATTTTTTTATTTTGGATATACCTATAAATATATATATATAGATATATAAATCCGTGAATAGGAATGAATTGAGGCGCAGATTGAGCTGGGATATGGATCATGATGCCCTCAAAGTTGTGTAGGGATTTTATTAAACATGGATAACTAGAACTACTCTAATTGCGTGGTGAATTTAATCATGATTAATCACGAAAATAATTAATTTAATACTTGTTGACTAGTTGTTTCTCATGACACAATGTGATCATCATCAGTCAATCAGGCTAAGAAGGTAAATTTTCAAATTTGAGCTTTATAAAATTAGCTTGGAATTTGATTATTAGTTTAACCTGTGCTCATATTGGAACTAATTGATTTGGGTTTTAATTAAGGTAAAGCACCATTCATCATGTTGATATTATTTTCCAATAGTATTCAACTCCCAGATATTATTTTCTTGGTGCATCCAACACTCTTTGATAGTATTTTTTTAATTATTTTCAATACCCTAATCTTATTTATAGTTTAAAGTGTTAAATGCACTATATATAAAATTAGAGTGTATCAGAAAAATAACATCAGAGTATTGGATGCACTATAAATAAGATTAGGATACTAAATGTAATTAGAAAATAATATTACAGTGATGGGTGATACTTTACCCTTTTAATTATATATGCACGACAAATGCAATAACTATTTCATCTATTAATCGTAAATGCGTTGCTGATTGCTTTTTGAAGAGAACATTAATGATATTAAAGGACAAGCTAGTTATTTTCGTAGATTGGTGTATAATAATTAGTTTAAATATAAGAAATAGATGGCCAACTTTAATTGAAGGAGAGTTTCCACAGGTAGGTCCTTCCAATTCATGATGAAGGCGGAAATCAACTTTTATTGAAACGAGTCCTCAACCGTTTCAAGCTTCTTTTTCTCTTTTATGTCTGCATTAGATATTGCCTTTTTAAAGCCACTTTAAATTTCCCTAAATAAGCATTTCTAGACCACTGTTTCACGTAAGAACTGTATACTGAAATATGCTTTAATACTAATGAAAATCTTCACTAAAAAGGCTGTGTTGAATAAAACATGTACGATTCAATGTTGAATAAAATTAAACGAACTATGAATACATGATTTATATAATATATATTATATGCACATGAAATGAAAATACTGAGTAAATCCCGAGTTTTAGGTTGCAAGGAAAAGGCTGTTAATTACTATGACCAATATTAAGAATAAGTGAAAATTCAAACACTCAAGGCACAAAATGAAATTGGATTTTAAGAGGGAGATGATAAGGAGAGACGTACGTGGGTCATTGTCTAACTAACACAAGCATACGCTAAATTCTGCCTTAATAATTGATTTGGTCGACTTACAAAAAATTTTTTGAATATAATTTCTGTTTGAAATCTTTTTTATGCTGTATAATTAATTCGTTTTTATTTCCAAGATTATTAGAATTTTTGAGGTAAAACTTCTTGTCGATCTTGGTCAATTCTTGTCACGACAAATGTGTCCCATGCATGCGCATACTAGAGCACAACAATTTTGTGAGATATGACTGTCTGTGTGCAGTGTGTGTGTGTAGTTGTGCAGCTTCTATAATTAGTCATTTTGTAATGCTGAAGGGTTTCTATACTAATTATTATAAATTGAATTTAACACTTATGTTTCACCAAAGTATCATTTTAAATGAAGTTGAAGTTTGGGCGTTCCACTTAGCTTCAAGAAAGAGCTAGAATTGCATGCCACACATATATTATGCCTTCTCATCTCTCACTCCACGGAATCTCTTTCTCTTAACCTCCAAGGTAAACATACAAATGCATATCTGTATCATCCCTCCTTTTGTAGAGTCTCTCTAGTCTCTATATATGACCAAAATCCTAATTTTCTCAAGCTTTATCATTAGTTATGAAACCCCTTCTTACAAGGCAAGTTATATACATCCCCTCCACCTTTTGATTTTAATAACATTGAAAAATGCTTTTAATTTCATGCAAAACGAGAGGCCTTCAACTTTCTGTTAATTTTTAAAAGCAACGCTGGAGCTTAATTAATTACATATGTGTATGTATGATTCAAAAACCACACAACAACTTGAGTATAAATTAGAAACTAGAAGGTGAGGTCAGGTTTTGTGGGCTGCGAATGAGATGTCTTGGGGTTACATTAAACCAGTCTTTGCGAGCAAGCATTCCACCACTTTAGGATGAGCCATTAACTTGGCGTATAAAACATAATTGAAGAAAAGTACGGAGCCATGAAGGGAATCAGACGCACTCTATTTGGATATTTGAAGCCACGGAACATACATATCCAATTAATAAAACATAAAAGATAGAGAATACAATCTTAGCAGTCCAATTATGCATTACACACGACATATATATATGCTTTATTAGTTGCAAGATAACATCATATATATATAATGCTGCTGGAATGCAGACCGTTTAACTCTGCCTGTTCTTCTGTGGACCACTCCACACTATTATCAATCTACCTTTTCTTTTTCGGTAGGATTGTTAATCTCCCTTTTTAATTTGTTCACATGATTTACTGTCGTGATAATTAATTCTCGTGAGATGGTCTTCTTTTGGACCTAACCAAAAGAAATATAATATATTCCATATTTTAAGAGTTTGAAAACATTCCCACTTTATTTTGTTAAATTTTGAAGCTAAGATAAAAGAATACAAGAGAATGTGAATGTGTGGGGGATGTAAAGTAAACGTTTAAAATGGAGGGGTGAGCACTTGACATAATATTTCAACTCAAATCATTATGAAGAAAATGACCAAATGGAGCCCAGCACAAAGGCCAATAGTCCATGACGTGTTTCTGAGCTCAACAACTACGCCTATACCTCAGTCGTTATAAATGCACAGCTCCACATTCTCATTCTTCTTCACACCATATCCTTCAACATGACCACCTTCTCTCTTTTCCTTCTTCTCTCCTTTGTTTCCTTCGCAACTTCGGCTCCCATTCACCAGAATTTCATTCAGTGTCTCATTCTCCACACCGACAAATCCTTCCCCTTTGACTCCTCCATTTACACTAAAAGCAGTGCTTCTTTCTCCTCCGTTCTTGAATCCTCCGCTCAGAACTTAAGGCTGCTGGAGCCTTCTGTCCCTAAACCAGAATTCATATTCACGCCTGCCACCGACGCCCATGTCCAGGCCGCTGTTCTCTGCTCCAAAAAGATTGGGATTCATCTCAGAGTGCGTAGTGGAGGCCATGACTATGAAGGCCTCTCTTTCGTCTCCGAGATTGAGACCCCTTTCATGATTCTTGATCTCGTCAAGCTTCGAGGTGTTGACGTTAATATACAAGACAACACTGCTTGGGTCCAAGCCGGTGCCACCGCCGGTGAAGTCTACTACAGAATCGCCGAGAAAAGCTCTGTCCATGGCTTCCCCGCTGGCCTCTGCACAAGCTTAGGCTTTGGTGGCCACATCACAGGTAAGAGCCATCTTAAGTTTAATCAAATCCAATCTTTTCAAAGGCCAGGTTCTAATCAATCGCTTGCTTAAAAAATTTTATGGGTTGAATCAGGAGGAGCTTATGGTGCCATGATGAGGAGGCATGGGCTTGGAGTAGACAATGTGGTGGACGCGCGGATAGTAGATGCCTATGGCAGAATCCTTGACAGAGCAGCCATGGGAGAAGACTTGTTCTGGGCAATCAGAGGAGGCGGAGGGGCGAGCTTTGGTATTATTCTGTGGTGGAAGATCAAGCTCGTTCCTGTTCCACAGACCGTGACGGTTTTTACAGTTACAAAAACCTTAGAGCAAGGTGCCACCAAGATCATCCACAAATGGCAGCAAGTGGCTCCTTACATCGATGACAACCTCTTCATGAGAGTCATCATCCAACCTGCTGGTAACAAAACTCAAAGAACCATCACCACTTCCTACAACGCCCTCTTCCTGGGAAACTCCAGAACGCTCCTTGATCTCGTGAAGCAGAACTTTCCCGAATTGGGTCTTACAAGAAAAGATTGCCTGGAAGTCAGCTGGATCAGGTCTGTCCTTTACATTGCTGGCTACCCAAATGACGCGCCCTTGGAGGTCCTTCTTCAAGGAAAATCATCATTCAAGAACTTCTTCAAAGCCAAATCAGATTTCGTGAGAGAACCCATTCCAGAAGAAGGGCTTGAAGGATTGTGGACCAGGCTGAAAGAAGAAGATAGCCCTTTGATGATTTGGAACCCATATGGAGGAGCCATGAGCAGAGTGTCAGAAACGGAGACCCCATTTCCTCATAGAACACAGGTTATATAGAAGCAAGCGGGTGGGGGACATGTATTTCAAGGATAACTTCAATAGGTTGGTGAAGATAAAGACCAAGTTTGATCCGGAGAACGTGTTCAGGCATGAACAGAGCATCCCACCACTTCCTGTTTCATCAGCTGCCAGCAGTATCAGCTAAATAAATGGATGAGCTTCATTTTAGAGAATTGAGTGTTGTATAATACTTGATGGTTGTAATTAAATGGTTGATGTGTTATTTTGTGTTTGGTATGTGACAGCGACTGATGAAGGTAGTCTTGCTTTTGTAGAAAGAACGTATGGGTGATTCCTATGTCAGATTGCTTTCCCTGAAAATCACAGCATTCTCCGTGTATGAAATGAATAGCAATTTCCAGCTACTTAGAGAGTTCATGTTGGTCATCCTATTTCATATAATGATCAACTTTTTCCCCAATTCATCCTAATGATGTTTTTTCAACAATAATAAGTAAAAAAAAGTAAGAAATTAAAAATACTTAAAACGTTTTTAAAAAAAACATATCATATTAACTAATTTACTAATATTTTTAATATACTTATATTAGTTAATTAGGTCTTATATTAAGGACTAGAGAAGTAATTAATAAGAAATACATGAAAAGGTGAGGGAGCAAATCTATATTTGCGTGTCGGGAGCGAATGGCTAAGGAATTGATGCTACAAAGTGCAAACCTGTTATATTTGTACACATCACCCCACTTGCTTGGCCAGTCACGTCAAGCGTTTTAAGTTTTCTTCTCCTTATCTTACGCTAACGCTTTTGGTTTTCATTTCAAGTGTTGGTCCAGAAACATGCATAGTGGGCCTAACTTGGAATCCATGATGAAGCCTCATAGTTGTAGAACTAGGCCTTGTTAGCCCCTTCCGCTTGGCCAGTCACGTCAAGCGTTTAAGTTTTCTTCTCCTTATCTACGCTAACGCTTTTGGTTTTCATTTCAAGTGTTGGTCCGGAAACATGCATAGTGGGCCTAACTTGGAATCCATGATGAAGCCTCATAGTTTTAGAACTAGGCCTTGTTAGTAAAAGGAGGAAGAATAAGAGCTTCTATCCATCTCGCTGAATCGAAGGTGGCCGTGAATTCCCAGTAGACGTCTCTGGATGTCCAGACATTTTGAAAATTACATTTATGCATTTGGGCGTATTGACACCTTTCATGCATGTGTCGCCACTCGTTCACCTCAGCAGAATAATGCCAATGCAAAATGCTCTTACAATACAATTAAGACGGCCCGCATGACTGTTCTAGAATCCATATGCTCACTCCACCACTCAAGAAACTTATTTAACAAGATATCTTGTAACCAGCCAATTAAGCATCTATATCTATATTATTATATATTACTACTATGCTCAAATCTTTGGTAGGCTTCAAAAACGGCAACTGCTTGATTATATACATGCTTTGCTATTGTAATTCATCGCACACCAGCACTAGGAAACAGACGCATTTATTCTGCCTCTTCACTTGGGAGCCAACACCAAAGTCATCAATTTGAACCTTTCCACCTCTTGCCCCGTACCTATCACTTTCCCTTGGGCCGGCTCTGGACATAAGATAGATCACTATACCAGTTTCTCTGGCTTAAATATTCTATCTTTCCGGGAAAGAAGAAGGAAAAAAAAAAAAAAGTTATTAGTTCAGTTCATTACACACACACAAACACACACAGCATAATGCGACTACAAGACAGAGGAGATAAGAATTAACATAGCGATGGGCTGGCTCCCTCTCTACTATTTGGGTCTTCTTCTTCCTTTCACTGTCATCATGGGCTTCTTCTACTGCAATGGAGAAAAGTTTCAGAGATTGCATGCTGTCCCAACCTGGTGGCTATTCTCATGAATACTACAAGACAACAACGCTCAGCTTAACCTCCTCACTTTACTCACAGGTCTTGGACTCATTCCAACAAAATCCAAGATGGCTGAATTCCACGAGAAATCCTCTTCTCATCATAACACCTCTTCAAGAGTCTGAAATTCAAGCAGCTATTATTTGCAGCAGAAAACTCGGGCTACAGATCAGACTCAGAAGTGGTGGCCATGACTATGAAGGCCTGTCTTACCTCTGTGAGACCCCGTTTATCATGGTTGACCTCAACAGGCTTAATTCCATTCAGATTAACCTTTCAAATGAAACAGCTTGGGTTCAATCTGGGGCTACTTTAGGTGAGCTTTACTATATAAAATTGCAAAGGAAAGTAAAATCCATGGATTTCCTGCAGGACTTTGTCCCAGTGTGGGGCTTGGTGGGCACATCAGTGGAGGAGGATTTGGTACTATGGTGAGAAAATATGGGCTAGCAGCAGATCAAGTCATCGATGCTTTGCTTATAGATGCAAATGGGAAGCTTCTTGATAGAGAAAAGATGGGAGAAGATCTCTTCTGGGCCATTAGAGGAGGTGGTGGAGGAGGAGGTAGCTTTGGGGTGGTTCTTTCTTGGAAAATTAGGCTGGTTAGAGTTCCACCTACAGTCACGGTGTTCAACATCCATAGAACTCTCAGGGAAAGAGCCTCCGAGCTTGTTCATAAGTGGCAGTACATTGCGCACAAACTTCATGAAGATCTTTTCATCAGAGTCCTAGCTCAAAATAATGGTGGCAAACCAGAGAGAGTCAGAGCGTCCTTCAATTCTCTGTTCCTTGGAGGTGTAGATAGGCTAATTCCATTGATGAATGAGCACTTCCCTGAATTGGGATTGCAAGCAAAAGACTGTACTGAACTGAGCTGGATTCAATCTGCTTTGTACTTTGCCGGGTACCAAAAATGGGACCCCCTAGAGGTTTTGCTAAATAATCACCACCGACAAGAGCTCTTTCAAGGCAAAATCAGATTTCGTGAAGGAGCCAATACCAGAAACAGCACTACAAGGTGTATGGAAAAGGCTTGTGGAAGAGGAAGCGCTGGCGCTTCTGATAATGGACCCCTTCGGTGGTAAGATGGATGAAATATCCGAAAGTGAAGTCCCTTTTCCGCATAGGAAGGGTAATTTATACAACATACAGTACATGGTGGAAGTGGGACGAAAATGGGATTGAAGCATCCAAAAGACATATAAGATGGATAAGAAAACTTTATATGTACATGGCTCCTTACGTTTCAAGCTCTCCAAGAGCTGCCTATTTCAACTATAGGGATCTTGATTTGGGTACCAACAAGCTGAATACAAGTGCTTGGGGCTTCAAGTACTTCAAAGGCAACTTCAGAAGATTGGCACAAATTAAGACAAAGGTTGATCCTCAAAATTTCTTTAGTAATGAACAGAGCATACCTTTGCTAAGTTCTCTTCCTACTTCAACATAAAGTATTTATGGCATTAGAAGGTCAACCAGAAAAGCTAGGGCAGTATGTATTCTTTCTTGAGACTATGTAAAATAGCAGTTATTTTGTAATCTGCAAAACACGTTAGAAGCATGGTGGTCCAATTTAGCAAGCCCAGTGGCATATTCAACCACTTCTCTGAAAGCAAATATAACAGAACACACAGAATTATCTAGCATTAATGAAGGGATGTGAATCCATTGCCATGTCATTCAACAGTTGTAAAGCAGCAGCTCAGTGGAAACTTCCTCTTTGCATCCTCTATCTCTACGCATTCGTTTTATACTAAAAGGAATCAATTTTCCATTTTCGAAACAGCTGCTTGAGATAGAGGATGGATCCTAAAGAATTTGAGACAGTAGTCATGAATGAAGTTACTGGATCTTTTCATCCTAGATCACCGACCACGCAGTCAAAAACACAATGAAATGTCACCAATTAATGAAAAGTTTAAGATCGAACTATTCAACTGTATCAAACTTGGTATAAAATAAGAAAGAAAAAATTTACAATAAAAATAGTTTCTTACAAATCAAATATCTACTAGGCCTAAAGCCAAAGCCACGACAAACGAGGCACGATAACTACATCGAGGACCATCCTTTGAACTCTGCTTATGGATTAAATTAACAATTCCTTTGGAGGAAAAATCGCATGGGCAAACCGTAGTCCCAGAATGAGATGCCTGAGCACGGAGTCAGCCATCGAAAGTAGGGTGTGAAAAATTAATTTCAATTGCCTGCAACAAGGAGGATTCCGAACTGACCATGGCCTCTTCCTCTTCGTTGACAAAACTACAAGGCATCCCACACAGTCATGGCCCCTCTTTCTTCCGCCATCGTTGAGACGAGTTACCTTATTCAAGGGCAAAATCGTTCCTCTCCCATCTGACCAGCATGGATTAAATAAGAGCAACATGCTTCAAGGATATGAAATGTCTATTCTTCAAATGAAACAGAATTTCCAGAAGCCAAGGACTGTATCTGATAATTTGTCTTCGTGAGCTAAGAATTTTGTTACGCAATGCTGGGATTAAACATGGATAAGGCCAGTCTTCTCGCATGTCAATTTAAGTTACCAAATTGCATCCCGACATCAATTGATGGTGTTTGATGCAACATTTGTTGCATCCTAAGGCAATATTTAATAGGCTCTGGATGACATCGACAACCACCCATCTCCCCTACTAACAGGCAGTCAATTGAAGCAGCAAGCAAACCAAGTCAGGCAGTACTCAGATCTTAACCCATCCAATTTCCATAATCTACAGAACTTTCAATTAGCGAGGTCAACGAAAGAAGAACAGCTTTAGAAATGTAAAGGTGAACTACAACGTTTTCTTGGTATACGCATCAGTTCTTGAAATGCTACATAGCAAGTCACGTGTATCTTTATCAAGCCCAGACAGCCACTTTCTCAAATCTTCAAGACTGCCCGAAACATATTTACTGGAATATACTGAAGACTTGAGTTTGTCTCAAAAAGGGTTTCTACATCAAAAGGAAGAACGCTATCAAAGCAGAGGCAGTGGCGAGCAGAAGAGAAGGACCTGCTTTTATGGGAGAATGGCGGCACAAATAAGAAAACAAGTAGCATCTCAAGTTCTCAACTCCTCTATCCTCGTATCCACCAGCAACAACTCCAAGCCTGAAAATCATAATGGAGACAATATTACATAAGAAACAATCATAACTAACAACAATCTGCACTGTCCAATGAGACCAAGACTCGCCATTAATTTATGATTCACATATGAAGAGTTATTCACAGCACCGCCAATTTCAAAGCAAAGGGTCGTTTACTCATTTTACCTCCCAAGTTGACCAAGAAGACCAACAACAGCAACAGAAAAATTCTCCACCACACAGGAATCCAACATATTCAGCAGCTGAGGAACAAGTTTCGTGTCTGTCCAGTGCCAACTCTGCATTAAGGAAACCATGGAATTTGTATGGACATAATCAGTTTTGAGAAGAATAAACCAAACGAAATGGTAAGTTCTTCAACAAGGAAAAGCGAGAGTTGCAACAATTTTCCATCTATAAAAACTAAGCATATCAACCCCCCCCCCAAAAAAAAAAAACAAAAGCCATACAAGAAGTATAAGGCTAAAAAATAACATAGCATTTCATACATCAATTTCCCTTAAGATTTTAGACTGTTCAACTGATGAACATTAGCAGTACAAAAATTTCATAGTAAATTACAAACTCGTTTAATAACAAAAGAATGTAATTTATTCATGATTTTATATAACAGTTATTATAAGACATCTAGAAAGAGCTAGCAGATGAACACCTTAAATAGACCTCTAAAAGCATAATATTCATATAAGACGATTAGATCCATATTTGGCTTTCCATGCAAATTGAAATCAAATAGAGTTCTATTATCAATTATCAATACTACCAATCATCAGTTTTAGAAAAACAAAGACCTCTAGAAAGAGCTGGCAGAGGATCTCCTTAAATAGACATCTAAAAGCATTATATTATACTCATATAAGATGATTAAATCCATATTTGGTTTTCCATCAAATTGAAATCAAATAGAGTTCTGTTAACAGATTTCCTGGAATCGCCATGCTCCATTTCTGATGTGGGCAATTTTAACTACAAAATAATATCTTCATACCAGATTAAATATAGTCACTGATCTCAGCAAACTAGGACCGTATATAATGAGTGACATTAAATTCATGGATAACCCAAAGAGTTAACTCATGCGGTATAATCATCAAATACCTTAGCGTACCCAATCGCCATTTAGTAGTACAGCAAAATAAAGACTTTATCAAGCAAATCTAGAATTAACGTGAAAAGACAGAGTTTATACCATTCTGCTTGCGACCAGCTCCACCAATGACAGGACATCACTAAGGTGGCAGATGCTGGCATTGTTCAAAACAAGAGGCTGAGTAGCAGAAACCATGCACTTTCTCAAACAACAGGCAGCATCACACTGCAAGTCAATGACAGATTGAGCCGCTTCCTGATTAAACCACTGTGCAGTATTATATTTGTCTGACAAAGACCCAGAATTTGCTGAATCATCCAGGCGTACCTCTTGTAATAGACAGTTCCTGATATTTTCTAAGAGCAATAATGCAACAATTTCAATAGATTCAGCACCTTCCAAGAATGGGCATTTAACACCCATCCATAATTCTGTATGCAGCTGATTTACTGATGGAAGACAGCAGGCAGTAAATACTGGTAGGTTCCCACCCTCCAGACGCATAATCAAAGATTTCAACACAGTGAACATTAAATTATGGCAAAAAAACTTCTGTCCACCCAGATAAGCAAATACATGAAGAATAGTCAGCATCATTACTGAATCCCATCTGCAAAACCTAAGGATATTATACGTAGACTCCCTAATAAATTCAACATGATCAGTTGCTGCACATACTGAAGCTAATATAATGCTTCCCGCCACCAATTGTTCCCCTGAAGCTGCTTCCAGATAAAGAGAAGTTCTCAAATCCTGTTCTGACAAGGTCTCAGCAGATACTTTATCATTTACCATAACTTTTCCTTCTACAAGAAAGTCTTCAATGAGGAAAAGGAGCTCACGCAAGGAAACATGTTCGGAAAACAATAATCTTGTTGTTGCAACAGAGAAAACTGTCCCAAAAAACAAAAACAAAAAAGCGTTCAGTGCAACGCAGCGGTGCACAATTATGTACATAAAATGAACAAATATAATGTACGCATTAGTTTGACACAGAATATGTCCGCCAAATAACAAGTTTGATAACAAACCTGCGCAAATGTGTTCAGCATAAGAATTCAAGCAGGGGAGTAAACTCCCACCCAAAAGTTTCCCAAACTTTATTGATGTGCTTGTAGTAAAGTTGAATAGCAAAAGTGTAAAGAAAACAGAAATCTTCTCCCTGCAAAAAAAAAAAATACAACTAAGAAAATCAAAAATTAGCGTCTAATGGCACAAAGTGTACATGTTGTTTGATGGCCTAGCTGCCACACTTTATTATCTTGTAAAGGATTAGATCATTTACCTTGGTAACAGTTTTTCTTCCATTGTAAGTGCAGTCAAAATGCTATCAGCAATCCAACCTGTTTTAGTAATCAAATTGCACCTAGCCATACAATTCTTTGTAGCGCCAAATATCCTAGAAATGCTTCTTTCGTCCTCAATATTTGGACAGACCATACAAAGTTTAGGAAGTTGATTCTGTATCAATTCAATCCCACCCTCCAGCAAATGTGTAGTCCTTGAATTTTCTAGCGCATAATTACGAGACCTTTTCGCATCCTCAGTTTCTCTAACCCGTGCAGGCTCCTGCTGTGAATTATAAGAAGCTCTTGATCTGTCAAACTTCTCTTCGTTGGAACTTATCTCAACGTCAATGACATCAAAGCAATGTGAAGGAAATAAATCTCCTCTTGGACTGAACATGTTTTCACGGAGTGCTTCCTCAAGAAAGGGCTTCAAATTATTCTTATCACATGTTTCAACTCCATGAATTTCAATCTCAGGAAGAGATGGAGACAGGGGAACATCCATTGCTCTTCTATAGCACTCCTCATCAGCAGCATTTTCTAAGTCTAATAACTTCATATAATTTCCATCAGCTACTTCGAAATTAGCCATAGAAGGAAAATCACTTGCAGCATCACATGTCCTCTCCATGAACAATTGAGTGGCTCCTTTGGCATATGAGATAGGGCAGCAGGTGTGTCCACAGATATTGGTGTCCTCACAGACTTCTCCTTTCGCCTCTTCTATACCTTTTTCCCCAACCTTGTTATATCCATGTACCAATTCCACTTCTGCTCTGTGAGATTTCTTTCTCTTCTTATGAGGCCTGTCACTCTTTTGTAGTAACTTATCCTTAGTATTCGCAGCCATCTCTATCCTTTCATGTGATTTGTCCACTTTTTTATATAACAAGGCATGTAAATCAGAGAGCTCCTTTTCTACTTGCAGGTCAAACTCCCTACCTTCAGAACAGTATTTCTTAATACTTTCGACTGTCTCAAGTATTCTTTTTCTCTTCCTACTGTGCTCAGTAACCGCTTTAGCAGATGGTTTGGACATGTTGGGTCTTGTATTAATATTCTCCTGAGCCAATTTTGCTGATGCAGTAACTGGAAGAGCACCCTTATCCTGTGAGCCCATCAATTGTCCATCAGAAAAAGATGTACTGGAATTTACTGCAGAATTCTTTAGTTTTGTTCTGTTAGAGTCCAGAGGCTCCAACTGATAATCAATACCTGTGATGGATTCAGCACAGTTTCCTCCAAATAGACCAAGAGGTGAGATGTGATGCATGTTTTTCTTCAAAGGATCGCATGCATTCAAGGTTGTGCAGCAAGTCTTATCTGAACTGCAGATATGCCTCGTCATATTCAATTTTTGCAGGTTCAGTATATTCCCAGGCTGCAAAGTAATCATCGTGCAAAGTGGGGTCAGTTAAAATGATCAAGATAAAAACAAACTACCAAAAGAATAGATCTTCTTAATGATAGGAGCTATAACAAAAGACTAAATCCAATGGCAATAATCTTTTCCATAGATCATTCAGATCCTATGAGTCAGCTACTGTTCAAAAGAATGTTTACTCTAGCCAGTTATGCATAGCTGATAGACAAATTCAGTGTTTTAAAATTAACCTGAATCTTCAAAGGCTAAGTAGTTCTTCATAACTTCAGAAAATGTTGAAAACTCCAACTTCCAAGGCTGAGTAGTTTGTTTCTAACAACAAGTTAAGAAAACCAAGCAGCAACCCTAAAACCACAAAATAATTATATAGCCCAATCCTTCTACCTGGCATGTAAGAAAAATTCAAAACAGCAATAGATCACGGACATCATTTGGGGGTGCTTGGATTCTAACAAAAATACTCTTAAAAAGTGCCTCCACATAAGTCAAGACAAAACTCTTCTCATATGTTTACTTCGTATACCATAAAATCACTTTGAAAACTATGGTTTGGTTTTCACCCAAATACCCCCTAACAATAAACACTATGCTGTAGTTCAATAGTTAAATTCTCAGGAATTTTTAGTGTGCACGTCTAATATGGAGAGACAGAAATGGAGATAAATTTTTGCAAACACTGATCCTATTTACATGCCAGATAGTTAAGCACCAAGACCAACCTTTTCAAGGTCATCCTTACTTCCACAGGTGGGTAAAATGGAAGCATCCAGCATATCAAGACGATGGAAAATTTGAAAGAAATCAAGCTTTAATCGACCTAATTCATGCTGTAAAATTCTGTGACGATTGGCTTCCAATTTAACTTTTTCCTTGGCATGCTTTGTCCGTAGCTTTTGAAGCTTCAAAGAGTTTTCTAAGAGCTCCACTCTAGTACTTTCAGCATTCACACATATGTCAGGAGAGACTGCAGACATTTCAATGGTTTTTCTTAGGGATGAAAGTTCAGATATCTTCTGCTTCAAATCTTCATTTGTCCGCTCACACTCTTCTAACTTCTGGGACATCTGATTAGCAATTTGTTTTTCTTCCATGGCCCTCTTTAAGTTATCTTCAGCAAGCTTCTTCTGACCCTCTACTTTAACCATCTCTTCATCTGCACGTCTCTTTTCCCTTGCCGCCTTCCGTTTTTCAACCTCTAACCTTTCCTGAGATTTTGCCAAATCTGACACAGCATTATGTTTTTCTGCTATAAGCTTCTTCTTCTGAGCCTCAAAACGTTTGGCTGCCTCTTTGAACTTTTTCATCTCGGATGCCAACTTTTCAGCATTTCGTCTTAGCTCCCCAGCCTTTTCAGCCTCAATTTTGGCAATTTGCATTTCCTTCTCAACATTCTTATTCTTCTCGGCTTCTAGTAATTTCCAAGCTTCGGCAGCTTTCTTTGTCTCCTTCTCAGCATTCTTTGTCTCAGAATCAGCCCTTATTCTCTCTCTCCCCAAAAGACTCTTCAACCTATTAATTTCCTCCTCTCTATCAGATATACAGGCTTGATAACTTTTGATATCTTCATTTTCATCCTGAGTACTGCTGCCACAACTCTTCCGTAATGCAACGATCTCACATTTTAATCCTCTGACTTCATTCTCCAAAGATACTCTAGCGTTGAATTCTTTAAGTTTTTCCTCTTCCTCCATTTTCGCCCGCACTTGTTCTTCATGGTACGCTGCAGAGTTTACATTACAGAGTAGGCTATCATAAGCGGAGGAAAGAAGATATATTATGTACTCAATCCATAGACATATCACAACAGAAGTCACAATACACAACTCAACTTCGTGCTATTCGAAAACCAGCCAGGAAAACAAAACCAAAAAAGATAACAGAACAAAGGTCTCCGCAGAGACAATAATTCCACGGCAAGAAATTTAATGTAAGGGGAGAGGAAAATCACGGAAGAATGATATCAAGGACGAGGCAAAAATAGAGAAAAAATCAAATATTGAACCCTAAAATTTATTAGAGATTCAAGATGGAAAAGGGAAAGAAATGAAAGAGCGACAAATTATACGGTTATGATTAGCAACAAGTCCACCATAAGAGTACACCAGGCAAATGGCTCAAATTTTAGACAGAATACCAACCTTTCTTGAGTTTCGCATTCTGATCTTCGACTTCATTGATTTTATCTTCGAGGACCTTCACAGCTTGTCTTAGAGCATTACGTGACTCTTGTAGCTTCAAGCATTTCGTTTTCAACTGTTTATAAGATCCAACAATTGACAAAATATTCAGTTACAGCTGACATAGTTAACTGAAAAATGCCCAAAAATAAGAACAAGCACGCACCGAGACAACAAATACTCAAAACAAAGAAACAAAAATTATAATGAAAACCATACCCCAGCGCAGCAGGTATTTGTTAGCGCAGGTATCGATGCATGATCAGCACCCATCTTATAACAAATGACCAGGCGAAGAAAGCATTAACAGCGAAACCTCAGCCAATGTCGGCGCTTCAAATCGAGGACTGAAGAGAACAAGCTGGTCATGAAGTGGCAAGCTTAATGACGATTATCTCTGCTTTCTTCATTCACTGAATCCCTACAGATTCTCGGCATTCTGAAAGCGAAAGCGATTGAGAGAGGTGGACAAGGTTAACAGCAACAAGAGATGCACCGGGCAACGGTAGTGCATGCTTCTTTTGAACTTGAATACAAAAAACCCTAAAACCCCAACAAATGGGCAGCGGACTGGCTGAGTCCGCCGGAGGACGTCCGCGTGGCATCATCACAATCACCATCCTCAACCAAGAAAGCAAAATAAAATAAAATAATCTTCTATGATTTTTAATATAATACTTAGGGAAAATTACAAAAAAAGACCTTGGAATTGCAAAAACGCAGATAGAGACCCTTGACAACTTCACTTTGAGTTTTGACAACTTCAAGGCATATTATTCTTGTCAAAACCCAAAGTGAAGTTGTCAAGGGTCCCTATCTGCGTTTTTACAATTCCAAGGTCTTTTTTTGCCATTTCCCCTAATACTTATTTAACTAATTTAATAAAATTAAAAAAGTAATTCAAATTACTTAATTATAAAAAATATGACGTATTTTTTAAAAATATTATAATCATTTTTTTAATATTCTCTCTCTCTTCTATTAATTATGGTTGATGGAGTATCTATAAGGATAATTTAGAAAAAATTGATAAATATGAGAAATAGGTCTTATATTTATATTTAAGACCAAAATCAACTTAATAATTAGATCTTATATTAAAGACTGAAGTAATAATTTTAAGGGAAAAAAACAGCTTCTTGGAGGCCAAAAAAAAACCGTTTGGAACAAAAGAAAGCGCCTTATTTGATTGGAAAAATTACAAATAAAGACTCCAAAATATATAAAATTGTGATTTGGGATCTTAAATTTGAAAAATAGCAAATAAGGACCCGATATTACTTTTGTAAATATGAAATGTGGGTAAAATGTCTGAAATGTCACTCAGCCAAGTTGTGATTTAGTCTACTGAAATTGTCATTCGTTAAAGTGAATTTGTCATTTCTTATAATCAACTCGTCATTTAGCATACTTTCAGTCAAGTTGTGATTTGGTCTACTGAAATTGTCATTAGCTAAAGTGAACTTGTCACTTCTCATAATCAACTTGTTATTTGACTGAGAGGCATTTTAGACATTTCACCAACATTTCATATTTACAAAAATAGGACTGGGTCCTTGTTTGCTATTTTCTAAATTTAAGATCCCAAATTGTAATTTTACATATTCAGAAGTCTTTATTTGCAATCTTTCCTATTTGATTTTGCTTCCCATTTTTTAAGAATGATTTTATAAAAGTGTTTCCCAAAATAAATTTTAAGAATAAAAAACAAAAAAAAAGTCTATTTAGAGGATCATTCTCATAAATCACTCATGGAGGCGATAAAATTTGGTTGTGTATTTGGGCTCTATCCCCGGTCTCCATATCCTTGTAAGCCGATCTCATGGATACATGAATACTTTGGAGAGATTATGCTAGTAGCCACAATCTTTTGCTCGCAAATCTTTTAATGAGCATTTTGCTTTATTTAATAATGCCTCATTTTGATTGAATTTTATGATTTAGGAAGCTAAAATCGGAGTTAATTTTTGTCCAATTCTTTTTCAAAGGGTGCTTCTGTAATTCATGGACCAAAATTTCTCGATCCAATAAGGTTCTCAGGTGCATCGCATAATGGTCTTGCTTTGAATATTTGCTCTTATCTTGAGCTTTTCTTTCACCATAATTGTTTGGGTAAAAGTGAAATTTTAACTTTAATCTTATTTTTCAGGGTGCAATTTTAATCCTGAACTTTTTGGTCACACAATTTTACTCCTATTTTTTTTGGTATAATTTTGTCAGGATAAAATTGCACCTAAAAAATCATATCAAAATTAAAATTGCACATTTACCCTATTTCTTTTCTAGTTTTTCAGCGTATTTCTTTGCTTTCTGGGGTTATCTCCGTGGGACCCTCCTCTTAAACCTGTTATAAGGACATTTTATCTTTATCTTTATAATATAATTGTTTTTATTAAAAAAATCACATTTGAAAACAAATAAAAACCTGTTTTAAACAATTATTCTTAAAACTATAAGTGGAAGAGAACCGCTTGATTCACTTATTTTGTCCAATTGATAGTTTGGTACTAGCATTACTTTTTTATAATATCATATTAATTTATGTATTTTTTTGATAATTTGTATTTAAGAAAAGTATTTTTAATAACAACTATCCAAATACTTTCATTTTATCAAAATTACTTTTTTCATAAAATCTATTCTTTCAAAATCTATTCTCAAAATCACTTCTTCTTTTTTCAAAAACTATTCTCCAAACCATGATTTGAATTTATCCGAAGACCCTCTTAATTCCTATAATATCTTAATAAACTATAAGGATTAAAGGAGTATTTGGGTAACTAAGAAAGCGCTTTTAAAAAACACTTTTTCAAAAACTGAGACAAGCTTGTTTATATATTTACTTTGTATACTGTAAAATCACTTTTAAAATTATAGTTTGATATTCATTCAAATACCTCCTAAGTCACAATATGCAAGTCAAAGTTAAGATACTAAATTGATAATTGAGATAAAATTTAGGGACGAAAAATTATATTATTCTTGTAACAAATAAAAGAAAATGAAAAAATATGTATTATTTTAAAAAAAAGTTAATTGAATACAATTATTAAATTAATTACTTTTTACACTGTTAATTGTTCATGATTTTTTATTCTCTCAAAAGATTGAGATGGTTTAATTTGCAACAAAGATGTCTAATTCATTTCTTCTTTGACGTATTATGTTCATAACTTTCAAATTCGTTTCTCATTTCGTGAAACATTTATTTTGATGTCTAAGTCCCAAGTCTCACCCTCACCCGGTTCAAAGTGGCCTATGTTTTCTCATCCCAAAAAGAAAAAAAAAGTTGCCTATGTTTAGCAACTCGTGGACAAATTGTCATGGAGACAAGCAGTAAAATTTCCCACCAAAAATCTTAGGAATAACATATCAATACTTTTTACAGAATGTTCGGTAGTAGATGGGGCATCATAAAATTAACAAAGATGGCACGCTAATTCTTCAAAGCATTAATAATGAGCAACATTGTGAATACACAGATAGAAGCAGTAATCGCTGGATATATTTGTCTGGACACCTGAATTCTGCTATGATCTAAACTAATGAATATATGTTGTATTTGATAATAACTCATCTGCTCTTTGCATCAACTTTTGATGAAGGACATGTTCCGAAGACCTTGTCCCATAATGAAGAAGTAATGCCGAAGCCTTTATCCTGGACCCGGAAGTGATGATTCATGTGATACTTCTGCAGAATATCCCAGAAAAGATTATTTGATTTCCTCGCTTACCAGATTAAAGTAATTGGCATTGACAATTTATGCTAACTTAGGAGAAATAATACTCTTGCTGACGCATGCTATTAGACATATAGAATCTAGATCGACATTTTAAAAGAAATGAGAGGGGAGCAAAACAATCACACTCTGTGACCGATACCAAAAAAGCCCCCGAGTAAAAAAAAAAAAGAAAGTAATACCTCAACATTTAAAATATCTGGACTCAATATCCCTCCATTTCAAATCGACCAAATTCTCGGAATTGCTTAGAAATCCAACTTTTGATCAGCTCATTATACGTTAGTCTAGACAAAGGTTGGTCTTTTGAAACACAGATTATGCTCAGCAGCATAGTGAATGTAGATATGGTAATATTATGTTAATCCACGGTTAAATAGATAAGTTAGTTTTACCTTGAGATTCCGGGGCACTTCACTCTTTGGCTGACCGTGGTGCAAATAGTAATGCGTGCAATCATAAATCACATAACCCAATAAACCACCTCCAAAAAGTGCAGGAGCCGTTGAGGGAGTGGATATGAGCTTCACCAAGTTCCAGAACTGGCCATGGCAGACAACGAAGTTAAAATCAGCTCATTGAGCCTCCATTTCTAATATGTACAATGTGTAATGTGTTTTAGTATCTCCATAGTCTATATTGACATGCAGACATGCAGCTATTGAACATTGAATATTCATTTTGTAAGATTTCACAATTCCGAGTTTTCTGACCCATTTCAATATAGACTATGGAGTAGAGAAATATAGTATGTTTTCACACGGCCAAAAGGATTTTGTTGTGAATCTAGCGAATTCCGCAAAGCCACTCCAGAAACTCCTATTGGGGACTGAAGTTATAAACATGGACTTGATCTATTCCAGCATAACTACAGAAAAGATCTCTCCATGCCAAAACTAGATATAGAACGATGCTTGAAGAGGCCTTTCACATACTTCTGCTTGAGATATCTTGAGCTCTCGCTTCACTTTTTTTTCTCTAATAAAACGTAGTTTCTTCTATGACGATAATATATTATTCCAAGCAGGAAAAACATCTTTCTTTCTTTTTCCCCTTTGGAAATCTCTAATCGAAGACTTTCATTTTAACTGCAGCACTTGATAGGATTAGCATATATGATCCGTTGCAAGTTCACATAACTCACAAAGCTCCATCTCTTAATGTTTGTGTTCAATTCTTTTCTGAAAAAGACCACAACCCTTTAATTTCTTTACTGTCAAGCACTCCAGCTGCTAGTTTATAGTTATTAAATGTCAACTCCTTTAGGTACTTCCAGTGACTGTTGGTTCTCCAGTAAGCTTTGTTCGTTGGAGAAATTTATCATGAGAATTTGAGAGGATTCTGATAGAAGGAAAGAGGGAAACTCTAGCCAAAATGAAACATAGAAAAAAGGACAACAACTACCTTTAATAAAAGGACAGAAAATTTCACCCAAAAGATTAAGAGAACAGGAAAAATCAGAGACAGGAAATAAGGGCAGGACAATATATTGGTTCCACTTATCAGAAAGGACTCGTGAAAGGTTGAATCCCACCGTTCTCTTGTTTACCATGCAATCAATTATGTTAATGCATTATACAGTATGGATAGGGAATAAAGAGATACCTACCGGCACCAACAATACAGCTGTTGCAGCAGGGGGGAAAACAAGCCTCAAGCCATCCATGGGGTGCTTATGGTGGCAGCCATGAAGAAGATAATGAATTGTATTTCCCCTGAAGCAGGAAAAAGGGGGGGAAAAACCAAAAATTAAATCTTCTAAATAAACTTGCTAAACAACCATGCCCTTAAATTAACATTTTGCGGAAAGACAGAATGAAGTGCGAGAGATGTCTAACCAGTAAGATTTTGTTTTAATGTGGAAAAGAAACCGGTGCAATGTATATTCAAGCAATGTCCATACAAGAATGCCAAGGACAACCAGTACAGAAATGTGAGGGCAAGTAAGACCCATTCGTACAGAGACCAAGATAAACCAGCATACGACTGGCAACCAAATGACTGGAATTGCCCACCAGACTGTGCGGGTCAAGAACTGTTCCAAGTAGAGTACAAAGTCAAGAACATAGCTGTATGTATTCAGCTTAAATTATCATGTACATTACAAGATTGAAAAATCCTTATAAGCACTTATATCTAATTTTAAAAATTCTCCAATCAAAACATGACAAATGTATGGTTCTCAAAAAATAAAATGATGGCCATATTTTTCGCAAACAACCATATAGTTCCCCAGTCAAATCATATCATTGACATACTATTAGAGAACCACGCATTTATCATGTTTTGCCTGAGAAAGAGATGGAAAATATACAAGTAACTGCATAGAAGTCAAGTCCAAGGATTATACCTCCCAAAAATCACTTTCAAAAAAACGAGGGCCTTCCTTGCTCACAATCGGCTGGTGAACCCATTCTTCATAAGCTTCTCCCAGATGTCCAACCTGCAACATTGTATTAAAAATGACTCATGGTCAATTATAGATAAGGATGTTATCCATCAGTCATCTGAAACGAGGTTTAAGGAAACAAAAAATGCATTTAACAATTGATACATGAAATAAAAAGAAGTGTAAATGACAACTGAAATATACTGAAAGATAGGACATGAAAAACATGTCTGGGGACAAGACCCAGAGGGAATGAATCTGTACCTGGAAGACAAGTGGCTTGTTCAAATCAGCTACAAAATCCTGTGCAACCATCTTGGTACTGGATATTCATTATATTGGAAATAAATATATTAGAGAGATATTCATTATATTGGAAATAATAAAAGTATATCATTAGCATAACAAGAAATTACTATTCATTTTATTGATCACGAAACTGTCACCAATGTTGATTGTTTTCATCGTAAGACGGCAGTGAATTCAAACTCACGCAAGCCAAGAGTTAGTAGTGAAATTGTCAAGATGCCGTCTCAAATTCATGGTAATATGGGACACATGGATGCAAACAGAATTATAGAATAACATAATTTGTCAGGTATTAGGGGCTCAAAGAACAGCGATACAATTAGAAAGAAAAGGAGTGTTTCTACCTCGAAGAAAACAAAGAGAATCAGTGAAAAGTAATAAGCATCAATATTTCCAGTGTATTTTAGAATATGAGAAAAGTATTAGTGAACGGTTAAGAAACTTGAAAATTCAGCGACATCAACATCCCCTTTGGATTAATGCTATAGCGAAAAGATAAAAGGGTGGTGATAATAAATCATTTGACGACACATCAGTTCTCTCGTCTGCTAAAAGTGGGGCCACACATATCCTGATCACTTCATGCCACAATTTAAATTCTGTGATTTGTCAAATAATTGTTGCAGAATTCGTAGTGGTTGATAAACGTCACAGAATGCGTCTAGTTTCTAGGGAAACAGTCATTTTTAAAATATTATCTAATCTAAATATAAAATAAAAAATTAACAAATTGCAACATTCATGTTGAAGCAGCTCATCTCAGACTATCTAGAACATATGGGACCCACGCTAGTTGTCCCATAAAACGAATTTCCTCTCCATTTACCCCACTGCCAGACCTATTGAGCTCTTTAACGTTAATAATTAACATCAATGAAAAGAGAATGAATGATTTCACAGGCGTGGCCCCCCCCCCAAAAAAAAAAAAAACAGAGAGAAAAGGAAAGGAAAGGAAAGGCAAGTGAAAAAGAGAAGAATTTTACATACAGTGGGATTCAAGTAGAATCAGGGTTGCTCGGCTCATGTTCAAACTCAAATATAGAAGGAAAATCATATCAGCTCATAGCTTTCAAGAAAAGAGGGAAACTTAACGCAGAACCATGCAGCTAAAAACATTCCGATTCCTAAAGTTCACATATTTTTTGAACTACAAAAACAGAAATTCACCCTCAACGTGACAAGTAAATAGACAGTGCCCCAGTTAAACTTGATAACATTTCAAATTAAGCGACAGGATGAAATGAAAAGGTTGAACTATTCTTTTTTCAAACACGCGTCTCCAAGAGTGGTCGTTGCACATGAACCAGCAGGGAATCTACAATGCAGTTTACCAGCAGATTGCCGCTGCTCTGAAAACACGCATCTGAACCGAAAAAACTCCCAAGAACCCCACCGTTTTCGGGATAGAAGAGAACGCTCAAACAAAAACAAGCACAGATCTATAAATCACAACCAATGGAATTAAGGAAAAAGAAAATGCGAATACAAATAAGAAACTAACCAAGCAGAAGAGAATTGGAAAAGATTGGAATCTATGAATGGGAGACGAACGAATACTGTGGCAGGCGCAGTCGAGCGCCCCCTGTATTGCGAGATGGGAAGAGCACATGATTGATAGATAGAGAAGAGAGGGGTAATAATAACGGAAGGAGGAAATCTGGGCCGTTCATTGGAATGGAATCTGGAGTTGGGTTGTAACTGTGAACAGGCTGGCTCATTCGTTATACAGGAGCATCGGAGGGATGACGTGGCGACATGTGATTGGTCATGATATTACAAACGAGCATGTAATTCCTGCCCTTTCCCTTCCTAACAGTCAAGCCCCTCCACAGGAGATGCCCAGATGGATTCCCACGCTTTGCCAGGGGAGGATCTGTTTGGAGTAGCTTATAAATAATTTTCAATTGTAATTTATAAAATAAAATATAAATATGTTAGAAGAATTTTGTCTCGATCTTCGTAAAATATGTTTATAAGGAATTTTGTATGCTCCCAGGCTCGAAATATTGGTGCTAATATTTGCCCACGGACTTTTGGATCAGGAAAAAAAACAATTCACCGGCTGCCTTTGGTGGAAGATCCATATCATTTATAAATATTCCACGTGAAATTAGGAAATCATATTGCTTTCTTGTATTTTGATTAATTAATTAACCGTATTTAAAGTTGCAACTGAATGCCTCTAATTTGAGAGTTAATGGCATTAATTCCATTTTTTGAAAACAAATTTCTTCCCCGTATGACATGTCTCCAAAAATGAATGGTGAATTTCATTATTTCACAAGGTAGTATGGATGCTAAAATAATAAATGGGTGAATGAAACTCTCTTGAATTTTCAATGCAAAATCTACTTGGGTAATTAATTTATGTGCATCAAGAAAGTTAAATAAATTAATTGATTATAATAAGTATGACATAGTCTTTCTAAAATAGTCTTGGGTAGCATTAGATTTATTTAGTAAGTTAAAAAAATTAAATAAATTAATTAATTATAATAAATATGATCTGATCTCTCTAAGATATTCCAAGATAACATCAAATTATATATCAATTTATAAATCAGATAGATTATAATCTAAAGAAAAATGATCAACATAAAAAATATAAGTATTGGGATATTATATTTAGGACTAAAAATATAAGCATTAGCATCTTACCTTTGTGTTCCACGAGGCTTTCAATGCCATTGGCGTATTTATATGTGTATTGTTTTAATGTAATAGCATATGACGAAGGCAGGGGGTGAGCAGTTAACGTTGAGAACCTGTATTTAGATTGGGGTTATCGTTTATTTCCGATTTCTTTAATGAATAAAAACATGACTTCTTTTAACATTACAAATATTCCATAGGAGCTCCTCTTACGGCCAAAAAAAGAAGAAGAAGAAGCTTTTGATTCAGTTTTAAGCGGGTCGGGGCGAATGATTGGGTTAAATATGAATAGGTCATCAGCTCATTTTGTATTTTGCGTAGGCGCGATGGATTCGCCGATTCGCTCTTAACTATTCATGTATGATGTCCAAAACGTGGATGCGGAATCTTTCTGGGGCCCATGATGGAGATGTCATCATGAGTTGATTATTATGTAAGTACGTGCCATGTTTGCTTTTGCCCGTTGCACCCGGGGCCACTGCTTGTCCTCTCCCTTCTCTCTGAAATATTGCGTCTGGTTATAAATATAAAAATTAACTAATTTAAATATATTAAAAAAATAAGTTAAATTAGTTATTTATAATAAATAAGTGTTTTTTTAAAAATATTCTTACTAATCAAATTTATCCGTTAGAACTACTATTATTAGAAAAACTATCTTGGAAAAAAATGAATAAATATGAGAGACAAAATAAATTAAGATCTTACATTTAGGATCAAAATAAAAGTCAGATAAGATTTTATATTAAGGATCGAAAGTAATATCTCCTTTTTCTTTCCAACAAAAAAAAATCTTCATTATGAATGTCCATAATTCCAACAATTTAATAGTTAAAGTTCTTCTTTCGGAAATATTATAAATATTTAAAGAGATCGGTTATAACAGGGGGAATAAAAACGCGAAATCACTCATTCTTTAGATGTGTGTGTGTATTTATAGAAATCACTCAATCAATATTTATATTTAATTTATTTAAAATGAATTGAAACTTATAACAAATTTATTATTTGTGATTTCACCTCTTTGAATTCCTAACATAGACAAGTTGCTCTGAAAATTGAGAAGAAAATTCTACATGATTATAAAGCAGCTCGTTTGTATCAGGAGAGGTGCCCCCCGGGCCCCCCACCGGGAGGGACTTCTTTGAAATTAAGAATTCAAATGGAAAAACAAAAACCTTGCATGCTTGTGAATTGTGATGCCATATATTCCTCTATTCTAATTTATAAAGCAGTTTCAACATGTTTTACACAGTTTAGAAAAAATTTTAAACTACATTACCTCTTCATAAAAATATAACAACTTTCTAACTTTATCCCTATTTAATATATATATCTTTTACAAAAAAAACTATCTATATTAAAATATATGAAAGACAAAATAGTACTACCTCCGGTCCTTAATATAAAACCATGTTTGACTTTTATTTTGGTCTTAAATATAAAACCCCAATCCATTTTGTCTCTCATATTTACTCAATTTTTTTCAAGATAGTCCTTTTAATAATTATAGTTATAGACTTATAGTCAATACACTTGATTAGCAAGGATATTTTAGTAAAGATAACACCTATTTAGGATAAATAACTAACTCAACTTACTTCCTTAATTTCCTCAAATTAGTTAACTGGCTCTTATAATTAGAACCGGAGGTAGTATATTCATACTAAAAATTTAATAAAATAACTTATAAATAAGATTAAAAAAAATCTTCTCTCACTACGTTACAAATAGAAATAGAAAAGTATCATGACAGTGCTTGGAATGAGTTTCCTAGGATAGAATGGGCCTCATTCATCACAACTTGGGCCATGTTCCCACCACAAACATATCCCTCACCAGCTTCAACGAGCTCAAAGGGGGGGGGGGCTCGCAAAAGTCCGGACTGAAAGGAATTAATGACTGAAGTACTACGTCTGGTCCTTATTATAAGATTATATTTAACTTTTTGTTTAGTCTTAATTATAAGACCCCAATCCATTTTATCTCCCATATTTATACATTTTTTTTCAAGATAATCCTTCTAATAATGATAGTTCTAGCCAATATATTTAATTAGCAAGGATATTTTAGGAATAACAACACTTATTTATTACAAATAATTAATTTAACTTACTTCCTTAATCTCCTCAAATAAGTCAACTGGGTCTTATAATTAGAACCGGAGGTAGTATCTTGTTTGGATCTATATTTGCAAAAATGATTTCTAGCTAGACTAATTTTTCTAAACTGGAGTTAAAAAAATCAATTAGTGTGGTGTGATTTATGTCCGAATATACTTTCATAAAAATGTTAATATGAGAAGAACTTATTTGGAAGATATATCAAAAATTTTAAAATGCTTAAATATGAAGAAAAATCAAAAGCTAGAAACTAGACGTTAGAAACATTGCTTCACTTTTAAAGTACTCCTTTTGTCCTATTTATACAGTAGAGAAAGAAGATATTTTTTAGTCCTATTATAAGACACTAAAAGAAAAATTTTTGTATGGATATACAATTTTACCCTCTATTTATTATTGTGTTGACTTTATTTATATGAAGTATAATGCATGTTAAATAGGGCTAAAGTTGAAAAGTTGTTGAATTTTAAATTAGAATTAATGAAGTTTAAGATTTTTTTCTTTACCTGTGTGAAATATGTTGGAAGTGACTTATAAATAGAACAAAAAATAGCTGCAAGCTTAGAGTTTGGCATCACTTTTAAAATTATTTATAAGCTTTTAAAATTATATAAGTAGAGATAAAAAAAATTTTAACATATTTATTTTATATTTCATAAATCATGATTGAAATGCTACTTTTAAATCATTTCAAATTGAGTCTAGAGCATTACCTATGATGAAATACTACTGCTGTTAGATATTATATAACATTGAAAAATGGTCCACCACTATAACTAGTAGCCCAGTCCAATCTTGAATTACTCAATTATGACTCGACGGAGATAATTAGATACTACTTCCGATCCTTAATATAAGATCCTGTTTGACTTTTATTTTGGTCCTAAATATAAGACCTTAATCCACTTTGTCTTTCATATTTATACATTTTTTTTCCAAAGTAGCCCTTCTAACAATAATAGTCCCAGTCAATACACTTGATTAGTAAGAATATTTTAGAAAAGACGATACCTATTTAGGATAAATAACTAACTCAACTTATTTTCTTAATCTCCTCAAATTAGTCAACTGGCTCTTATAATTAGGATCGGAGGTAGTACAATCCTAGTCTTGATGGTTGAGCTTAATTTGGTGTGCGTGTGTGTGTATGTGGTCAAGTTTAGTTTCTTGGGCGTTAAGGATCAACTTTCAGAGTTGAGTGTTACATTATATGCATCGTTCCCTTTATTTTTGAGACCCCTCCATAGATTTTGTTGGATACCTATCTTCCAGTCATTGTCGCATAAAGTTCCTCATCGCACTCCCTTGTCCCTCCTTTATTATTTGTCTCTATATCACTTAACGCTTAAGATTTTTTCTATCTTCTATACAAACAAAGCATCTACAAACCCCACAACAAACGGTGGCACTCACTTAAGTTCTTTCAAACAAATAAAATTTTTATTTCTTAATATAAGACCTAGTTAACTGACTTGAAGAAGTTAAAAAAATTAGTTAAACTAATTATTTGAAGTAAATAATGTCGTTTTTTGAAATATTATTACAGATCATGTGTGTTTGAATTACTCATTTATAGTAATTTCTCAACATATGCAACTATTACAAGATTACTTATAAGACAAAATAGATAAATATTGAAAAGAAATGAATTGGAGTCTTATATTCAAAACTAAATTGAATATCAAACTAGTTCTTATATGA